CAGTCAATATTAAATATGTTATTAACTGCTTGCCTGCATCCCTATAGTAGAAGAACTGCTACAGGGCGGCGAGGCTGCGCAAAATCACATACATATATATCTATATCTATATATCTATCTATCTATCTATCTATCTATATATATATACGTGATTTGCAGTTCTGGGTAGGGGGAGTGCACCTACAATGTCCTGCTGTTGATGACAGGGGCAGTGTCGCCAATTTAATATAATTAAGGGGACTAAAAACAATAACAATTAAAAAAGCCACAGCGTGAACTGAGTTGTAGAAGGGAGAGTTATCACATAATTAGTGCGCAGATATGCCCATTGTGACCACATCAAGCACGTTAACACAATGTTACATGCCGCTGCCTCCACAAATGTTTCCAGTGAGAAATACCTGTACATACCAGGGGTGGACTGACAACTCATGGGGCCCCCGGGCAATAGGGGATTATGGGGCCCCTATGTCCTCGCCCACACCCAAAAAAGCCAATGAAAGATACCAGGGGCATCTCATGGGGCCCCCTACAGAACCTGGGCCCTCAGGCAGTGCCTGAGTCTTGAATGGTCAGTCTGCCCCTGGTATGTATGGTATGTACAGGTATTTCTCACTGGAAATGTTTGTGAGATACAATGCTGTGTTTGCTTTGTCAGCAGGACATTGGGGTGTTTTTGACCTACTTATTGGCTTGGCACATGCACAGTTTTATTTTGAGATAAAATGTTGCCACATGCATTCCTTTTCGTAACAGAAAGACCTAAAGCAGCATTAAATGGATGTGCAAAGCCCACCACAGACTGAGGGTGCACCATAGATATTGAACACCAGTGTATTATTTGTTAGATTCAGGGATTGCGCTCATTGTGCACGCATCATCTTATGTCATATTGCGAGGCATGCTTTCCAGTGTTTTCCCATCTTCATATTTATCAGGCTTCCCTGATTGTTCGCTAACCAGGCTTGATATCTGCCATGCAATTCTGTATGTAGTTAAGTTGTTCTTTACGATACGCACAATTCTACAAATTAATAAATAAATAAAATTCTAATAAAGTGTTACTAAATCCACAACAGTAAAATCAGTCTGTATATGCAGTAAAGCATGTTTGTTATACTCACTGTGGAACCTAAGGGGTTAATCCTCTGCTTTGTGTAAAAAGGCTGTTTGATCCTGTCTTTTCTGATCCTCTCCTTCTTCCAGTGTCCCTCTCTTATCTCCTGATAAAACATATCGCGTGGAGTCACTCTGCACATGACCAGTTTGGTGTGTATTGCTAGATAGGTTTTTCTTCTTCTTGGGTGAGTGCATGTGATCAGCACAGAGCCAATCAGTACTGTCCAGAGTGTCAGGGGTCCTGCATCCTCGTAGAGCAGAATGAAAACTGCTAGAAGCTTTTACATGTGCTCTGCTGGACACTCATGTAAGTCACAAGACTGCTATATACTGCTGATGAAAAAAGGTATTTGGCAGTTTATATTTACTGAAATAATTGCATTTCCATGTTCTGTGGGAGACCAGATATAGTGAATGCAGGGTCATGGGTTTAGGAAAACCTTAAGAACAGCCACATGTGGACAGCATGTGGCCACAAAGCAGATTAGCCCTGGTTCACACTGGATGCGACTTGGCATGCGACTTGCAAATTGCATGCCAAGTCGCACCCTATTGTCCACAATTGGAGTGGTCATATCGGTGCGGTTCTGACTTGGTCAGAGCCACACCAATTTCAAAAGTAGTACATGCACTACTTTTGGTGCGATTTGCATAGACATCTGTATCAGATGTCTTGCAAATCGCACCTTAAATGGGCGGGTCCCCCGACTTTGAAATCGTGTGACTTCACTGCAAGTCGCATGATTTCAAAGTCGGGCTTGATGTGAATGGAGGGTAAAGGTGGGAATAAAATGTGGTGGAATCACACATGCTGATAACTTCCCCATGACATATTCCCCAACAAGTGTGACAACACTAATCACCAAATTCACACACATATTTATTTATTATTTATTACAGGTACTTATATAGCGCCGTCAATTTATGCAGCTCTTTACATATATATATTGTACACTCACATCAGTCCCTAACCCTCAAGGGGTGTACAATCTAAGGTCCCTAACTTACATTCATACACATACTAGGGCCAATTTAGACAGGATCCAATTAACCTACCAGCATGTCTTTGGAGTGTGGGAGGAAACCGGAGTACCCGGAGGAGACCCATGCAGGCACAGGGAGAACATGCAAGCTCCAAGCAGGTGGTGCCATGGTTGGGATTTGAACCAACGACCCTAGTACTGCCAGGCAGAAGTGCTAACCATTTAGCCACTGTGCTGCCCACATATAATTATTTGCTTGTATATTATAACAGATCCAGAGCTTCAGGCATCTGTCCTACATTTTATAAAGCTCCAGACCTGCTTGCAGTTATTTAGCAGTGAATGTTTTACATCTTGCAGCCCCGCAGCACTAACCTGCTTTGCATTAAAATCCAACAACTCACAAGATTTCCTTAAATAATGGCAGCAGGAAAACAGCGTGCTGTGAGCAGAATTTTAACTTAATAGTCGTTGTTTGCATGAATGCTAAAATAAGATTCCAATGTAAAAACTAAGTCTGACAACAAATCTTTGTAACTCATCGCCTGCTCCATTTAATATGACTTTGTTGCAGTTGTCAGCACAAGCCCCTTCCAGGCATGTTTAATGTATTTTTGTGATTGGATCTCTAAAGATGGTCCTGCTCCGGTTTCAGATTTAGCAAATGTTTAAATAAAACATGACCAAAGAAAATAGATGAACACACCGATGCCAACAGCTGTGGTGGATTAGGTCATGAATGAATCTGGATGTTTTTCCTAGTGACAGGCGCTGCTGCAGCTTAGTTACTGCACCCATGTAAAGAGAAAGCATTTTTATATACAGATTAGACATATCCCCGGAGGTTTATCTTAAAGTGGACCTGATCTTAGAAAGTGAAGATTTGCTATATTAGGGGGGCATCTAGAATTTTCGATTGTGCCCTGAAGTGCACTGTGAGATTATCTAAAGTGCCGTACCTCTGGCTTCTAGTCTTAGGAGATCTGGTGATGTCATTACTGTGCTGCTCACTCTTCGCCTTGCTGGAGAGCAAGCTGTACCCAAGGACCTGCAGTACAAGAATCCCCCTGCTCTTCATTTGTTCATTCTGTGGATTTCGGTTTTCTGAACTTCTGGTGCTGCTTTTTGAATAATTACCAGCAATCTTAGGGAGAAGCACCTCAGATATGAAGAAGCAAATCCCTGCCTATACCAAGATGACCACCCAAATAGAGAAACACAGTGCTGAACAAGGCATGGAAAGACAGTAATGGGGGGCGGGATCATATGCAAGGAGCCTAGAGGCAATACTGATGTTTAGTTATTTGTCCTTCTGAATGCTTCTTTTTGGCACACTTTTCTGTTCTTTAGCTTTTTGGACTGCTGTGGGAAAGCTATACCTGGCACAACACAACATATTCCCCATCGTGCTCAGTCTCGCCAGGTATTTCCTACTTTTGCCACCTTTATGTGATCACTGAAAACTCTCTTCAGGGAAGCATATCCCACCTCCACCTAACAGCTGAACTTTTAATTATTCCATCAGCTCATCCCTCACAGTTATTACCTTTTGTATGACTTGCCCCACCCTATTAGACTGTAAGCTCTTATGAGCAGGGCCCTCTTAACCCTCTAGTATTTTATTGTATTGTAATTGTACTGCCTCCCTTTATATTGGAAAGCATTGCACACACTGTTGGTGCTATATACTGTAAATTATGTGTAATAATAATAATATAGTTTAAAAAACCAGTATTCTTCTGGAACCCGGGTTGGTAGGAAATCAGTGGCTTGTAACTCAGAGAGAAAACAAAAATATGTTAAAATATATGTCTAACCAAAGCTTATTTTTTGAATTTAGTAGAAAACTGTTGTCTGATTTTTATTGCAGTCTAGGGAGATTTACCCTTCTAGTTTTTGAAGGTGATTATTTTCACTGTAGTAGAAAGTAATGGACAATTCAAAATTTTACATTTGTCATTAAAACAGGAATAAAAAAAATTCAATGGGACCTCCTGTTCTAATGAGGAGATTTCCATCTACTTTGGAGAAATTTTTGCTTGCTTCCTGTTGCATCCCTAGGATAGGAATTGCAGGGAAATCTCCAAAGTGGGACACAAAAAAGGGGTTTTACCACTTCCTACTCCATGTTTTATCTTCCTGTACACATCCTATAGAACAGCCATTCTCAAACTATGTTCTGTAGAACCCTAGGGTCCTGAAACTATTGGGAGGGGTTCCTTGAGCTAAGGCTGATTGACTACCTATTTGATAGTGTCTGCATAGTTCCAAGGCTAGTGCCATTTAGCAAAGCCAGCAACATAACACCAATTATCTTTTTAAACATCTGTAAGGGTGGCATTGCTACTACTGACCTCTCATTTTTCTTATTGACCCCTGATGAGTTGGTCAACTCATTCCTGAGTTCTGAAAATTATGTAAGGGGTTCCTCTGAGGTAGAAAGTTTGAGAAAGGCTGGTGAAGACTCATTGTATGAGCGTCCTGTGAATTTGCCCATACTCCAGCAGTGGCAAAGATGGGCTAGGTGCATGTTAAGCTATCAGAAGTTATGAGACCTCAGGATAGGATTAGAATGCCTCTCGACTGTAAAATCAGGTTTGTGGGATCCAGATCATTTCATGCCAAATTAGGTAGTAGGTTGAATGGGGATGAGTGAAACATATAGGGGGTTATTTTCTAAAAATGGAAGAGTGCAAAATCTGGTACAGCTCTGCATAGAAACCAGTCAGCTTCCAGGTTTTATTGCCAAAGCTTAATTGAACAAGCTGAAGTTAGAAGCTGATTGGCTACCATGCAGAGCTGCACCCGACCCTGAGTGCTTCAGTTTTAGTAAATCTACCCCATAGTATTATGATCTTAAAATACTGGAAAGAGAGGAAGTAAGGTAGCATGAGATAATGGAGGTAAAGAGAAGGCAGTAGGAAAGGGTGGGGAAAGGGGGATGACATGGCAGGGCAGCTGGAATGCCCAGTGCTAGGTGCGAGGGCTCATGGGCATAAACTGAGGTCACAAGAGAGTGACATAGAGTCTACTGTATAAGGTTCAAGGTGAACTATGGGATCCACAACTTTATGAGTGTTATTTAAAATGCATTAGAGTTTTTCATTAATCATAGGGCCGCATTCACACATGTGCGACGAGATACATTGATTTATTTAGCGCATTGTTTGGCGCTTTTGCCATTCACTTTAACACTTCACTGTGACTGCAGCCTAAAGCCATGTAGTTGGGTCTTTTCTTTTCAAAATGTTACATTTATGCTGCAAGCTAAGATGCTTTTGTAACTTGTTTGCCATGTTTTATATATAGAAAATGTTAAAATATGGTTTAAAAAAAAACAAACCAGTGTCACAGCTCTAACATCCTCACGATGGGACATTTATAGAGGACCAGCACATTGTACGCATATTTCTTCTTGGTGTGTATGTTTTGGCATCCATGTATGGTGTGGTTCATATTATACATAGAATGTCTGTCTGCCATGTGGTTTTGTGTGCATGCCACCACGCTGCAGTTTTACAGCTAAAAAAATGTGATGGTGAGAAACTCTTTAGCAGATCATCCATCATGGCCCTTAATTGTTTCAAATTAGGAAACTCATTAACCAGGGCCAGATCTAGCCTGTCTAATGTGGGGGTGCAGTCAAAAATGTCAGGGGGGCAGAGGATGGGAGGTCAGCAGGGCAGAGGACAGGGGTCACTGCTAGCAGGGCAGAGGACAGGGGTCACAACTGGCAGGGCAGAGGACAGGGGTCACAGCTGGCAGGGCAGAGGACAGGGGTCACTACTGGCAGGGCAGAGGACAGGGGGTCACTACTGGCAGGGTAGAGGACAGGTGTCATTGCTGGCGGGGCAGAGAACAGGGGTCACTGCTGGCAGGGTAGAGGACAGGGGTCACTGCTGGCAGGGCAGAGGACAGGGGTCACTGCTGGCAGGACACAGGACAGGGGTACAGCTCCTTCTCCCATTCCTGCGGTGCACACAGCTTGGGTGCAGGCAGCAGAGCTCCTCTTCTTCACACAATGCATAACTGAGATCAGTATTGTATCAATCAAGGGCAGTATAGTGTCAAACTATGGCGGTAAAGTATCTGATTAGAGTGGTATAATGTCAGATTAGGGCAGCATAGTGGCAGGGTAGAGTAGTATAGTGGCAGGCTAGGGCAGTATAGTGGCAGGTTAGAATAGTACAGTGGTGGTATAGTGGCAGGTTAGGGTTGGCTTTGGCGAGGCACAACTAAAATCTGAGGGGGTTCATAGCCCACCCCACCACCCCTCCTAGATCTGGCCATGTCATTAGCCCTTAAATTATTTCTAAGCCAAAACTTTTTTATCAGTTTTGGATAGAGCAGGGAATGGTTAAAGCTTTTTCCAAATCTCTGTCTCACAGGCCTCTGTTCACCCTTGAGTGTGTGAGTGGTTTGAAGCTTCACTGGAAAAGTACCAATGCTCGACACTTGGATTTCTATTATATTTAGTGGTGCCCATTCACACTTGAGTGTAGTGTTGTTTTAAGATCATCTCTGGAAAAGTACAGCTTCTTATGAGACAAAGTCAAGTTTTAGCCTCAATATATTTCAATGGGAGTGCCTAGAACATGCAATACACACATTTGTTATACTTTTTTTGCCCAGTAGAATGTAGAATGTGCCCATCAGAGTTCCCCTTAACATAAAATGTGCCTATCAGAATGCCCCTTATATTATGTTAAGGGAAACTCTGATGGGCATTTTATGTTAAGGGGCACTCTGATGGGCCCATTTTATGTTAAGGATCACAAATGGGCATATACTGCAGAAAGGGGCACTCTGATGGGCACATGTGATGAAAAGGGGCACTCTGATGGGCACATGTGATGGAAAGGGGTACTCTGATGGGGAAATATGATAGAAAGGGGTACTTTGAGTTTAAGGGGGCACTCTTACAGGAATACCTGATGTAAGGTGGCAATGTGATGGGGATACCTTATGTAAACGGGCACTCTGATGGGGACAACTGATGTAAAGGAGCACTCTGATGGGCACACCTGATGTGATGGGAATACATGATGTAAAGTTGTACTCTGATGGCGACAAGTGATGTAACAGGGCACGCTGATGGGTGCACCCTATTCGGACCTCGGCCAGAAGAAAATTTTAGTGAACGGACCACCTTGAATTTAAATTCAATACCCTTAATCTAGGGGAACAAAAGAAGACTTTTCCTTTCCTGCAGATAGACTAGTCCTAATAGTTTATTCTCGCCCGATGCTCCTGCGGTCTAGGGTCCTCACGTCATCAAGACCAAATCGGGGTCCTTTGCCCTGCATTGGATGTGATGATGCTGAGGACCAATTCACTGCCAGAGCATAGGTGGAGTACCATCTTCCGCAGGAGCGTAAGATCAGGAAAGTAAAACTGTTTCTCTTTTCCCCAAGAGACAAAATGAGATATTAACTCTGGCAGTGCAGGTGCAGACCCACCACAAGGGATAACAATTTCCCAGAGTTGGGCAATAAGTCCATAGCAGTTTGCAACTAGTTTTAAGCTATGTAAGGAGGACTGTGAGCTGACTGGGTTGGGGTTACTATGCTTTAATCAGCATCAGGATTTGATTCTTAGATGATACAGGCTGGATTATTTGAGTATACAGCATGTTGTTCTAAGAAGTTTGTCCCTAATGACTTGACAACAAGCAACAGTCCAGGGAATTGGGTTGCTTGATAACCCTGGAGCTGTAGCCACTTAGGGCTCCCAAAGCATCTGTCATACTAAGCTGTGTGTACTTATTACTGCAGCTAAAAGCAGGTCTAGATCTCCAAAAAGATGCACTCATAAGCAGTTTAAGGCATTTTTGATGCGGTATGGAGAATGCATTTGCTGAAAATGCAACTGCTAGAAAATGCAGCAAGAAGGACGATTATTATTCCTGCCACACTAAAAAAATGCATATATGTGAAATGTATTCTACATTGCTCTGTTATATCTGTGTAAAGACAACTAATTGCTATGTAAGCCTTGCAGACTTGTATTCGGCAAAAAAAATAGCTTGATTCCCCATCAACACAGTCGAAGATGGGGGAATATCTTCTGCATCGCTATTGTGTTGTGCCAGTGGGCAGCTTTCCCTGCCGACAGAACACAAAGATCACTGATGGTGTCTACAGTATAGCTGCTGGCAGTAATCACATGCAAAAATCTGACAGGATGGTTGTACTAAAGTCAGTGGATCGACTTAAAGCGAGCCATAGGTGGATCGGATCTTGGCCAGTTCAGCAAGGACCTACTGAGATTTGATCCTTCTATGAGCAGGCTGGTTGTACTGAAGTCAAGCCATTGACTTTAATACAACCAGCTTGTTTAGATTGTTTGTATGCGATTACTGCTGCCAGCTATAGTTGCCAGCAGTGATTATTGTGTTCTGCCTGCAAGGAAAGCTCATTGCCAGCAAAAAACAATAGTGCTGCAGGAGGAATTCCCTCATCAACTATGGCTGTGTTGATGGGGGAATCAAACAGTTTTATTTCCTGCAGCCTGTGGTTACAGGAAAGAAAATTGCATCATTTATGGCTTGCCTTAGACATCGGAAAATCAATTGAAAGGGATAGCTTGCTGAACCTGTACATTGGATTTCTCAAGTTTAAGTCAAGGCTTCAGGCTATCACATTTCCAGGTCAACTACTGCTTGGACCCTAATGATTGGGCTTGACCTGCATTTGGGAGTATATAAGGGAATCTGTCTGGATAAGAATATGTGACCTGCCACTATTTATCATGGTGCATATTCCAGAACTGATATCATGACCCTTGCTTCACAATTTAGCAAGTCATGGACCCAATACAAGAAGTTGTATACATGGTGTGTACACTTGATAAGTACATACTTCTTCTAGGTCAGTGACTCACCAAGTAGTGAAGCTATGTTCAGGATGACAGATCTGGATCACGCACCTGTAAAAAACAGGTCAGCAATTTCAGTTTCCATATTTCAGTCTTGACGGGATTCTTTTAAAATTAGCAATTTTGCAAATCTCATTCTTACATTAGGAATTTCTGAGTGCCACTGATTCTGTTTAAAGGGGAACTTCAGTTCCTTTTTTTTTAAATTAAAAGTCAGCAGCTACATATACTTGGGTTTGATTATTGAAGAGTGCACAGTCTGGTGCAGCTCTGCATAGAAACCAATCAGCTTCCAGTTTTTTTTGTCAAACCTTAATTGAACAAGCTGAAGTTAGAAGCTGATTGGCTGCCATGCGCAGCTGCACCAGATTTGCACTGTTCACTTTTAGTAAGTTAACTCCACATAACTGCTGACTTTTAACAAAAAGACACTTACCTGTCCAGGGATGTCTTCACCCAGGTCAGTTCTTTGTTGAGCTTCAGATCCCTGGTGCTGTCATCTTGGATGTTGGAGCCAGTTGTGACTTCCTGATGTTATACAGCTTGCTCCCCACTGCCAATGCACAAGATCACGCTGCACTTTCACATTGGTCCCACAGCCTCCTGGGATGTGCAACATTTCCCAGGAGGTTGATGGTGGTCGGGGGAAGGTAAAGCTCCTGTAATTCATGTGGGAGATACCCACTCTCAGAAAATAATAGAAACTCATGAATATTGTTTCAGTCGGAGGAGGAGGAGGAGGATGAGTGGAACTTCCACTTTTAATTAAGTGTTCTTGCATGGCAAGACCACTTACTGTTATCTCACATATATATTCTTATTATTATAGCCAAATTTACCACCCTAACTCCTCCCACAGCTTTTACACTACAAAGACAGTAATATACTGAAACGTGCGGATTGTTCCCGATTGGTGTGCTATTACTTTGTGGAACGTTTTGCCAAATGGTTCATGAAATATCTGCGTTTTTGTGGTGAAATTGGTCCCATAGGAATGAATGGTGCAATGTTCAAAACTAGAGTGGGAGCTGACAAAAGCTAGAGTGTGAGATGAAAAATCAGGACATGATTTCTAAACTGCCATCACTCCCTCATTTGCAAGCCCACCTACACAAATCTTAAACATTCAGCTAACCCTGCTGCCACTAAAAATGTCCACGGCTAAGCCATAGTCCTCATAGTTTTCACAATATGACCATTTGTTTGCAACTCACGCCGCCCATTGACATTCATTGAAACTCCACTCTAGCCACCTCAAATTTAAAGGGCAATTTCTAAACTGCAACTGTGCCTTCATTTTTAATATTTTAGAGACATACTATGCATCAAAATGTAGGTCTGGGTCTTCTCACAATATAAAGCTCTTCACTGTAGGATTTACAGTGAAGTGAGCAAGTTGGAGCAGTTTGTTTTTAACCGCTCTTCTCTGCCCTTGCTGTAGAGTGAGTTGCCATAGGAACCCAGGTGTGTGAGCAGGCAGCAAAGTGACAAAAGCTACTCCGCCCACTCCAGTTGTAGACTACTGGTGGAGGCAAGAACACTTCACACAATTTCCCCAAAAATTTTAGATTTTCTAGTTTACAATTAGGTATAGTAAGACAAAGCATCTAATGCAACTGTTTGTGATTTACCAGGACCAACACAAATACCCCCTTGTCTCCAGAATATTTTTAATTAAATTGTTTATGTATCCATTATTACCCTAGTTTATTCAGATGTTTGGGAAGAATAAAATAAAAACTAGAAATAAAGTCCAAGATGAATGTACTCAGTAAAAACATGCGTGATTTAAGGAGTCATGTGGTTGTAAACCTCAGACATAAAATATGAACAAAGCATATCCCTCTCTAGTGTGTACTTGTCTCAATCCAGATCACTAAGTGTAATTTCTGTCTGCTGCCTCATTCCTCAAGTTTTTCTGACACTCAGAGAAAAATTATAACAGGGAGAGGGACCTCCATCAGATTTACAGCCTTGGCTCTGTTCCTGTGAGCTGTATGGAGTGGGTCCCTTTCCTCCAATCTGCTCTCAGAGCTCTCCTCACTGAGCTGCGTAAAGTGTAATTTCAGCTCTCTACCCCCTTTTCTCTGAACTCTGTGAACTGAGACAAGCTATATAAATTTATCACTTTGAACAGATGTAGAGCGGAG